TGGGGAATTCTGGGAGTTGAAGTCCACACATCTTCAAGTCGCTAAGGTTGAGAAACCCTGACCTACCCGGTTTGACTTAATTGACCTCACCCACCATTACTCTCCAGCTGCACTAATGTAAATGCTGCAGTGTCGGCTTATTTTTGCACATAGTCCAGGACTGGAAGAGCTGTTGCCTGGCATGTAACCATGGTCTTTCTCCCTAAATACAACACGCACTGAGCTAATCATCTCCAACTAAGACCAACTTTGAATTAGCCAGCATAATTTTTCTACTCTCTTTCTGCTTGGCCATCCCGTTTTATGTCTTCGTTAGATTTACCTCCTGTCTTTTTGCCCCGGCGTTCAGAGGGGGTGTTTGTAACTCTCCCTCCTTCAGTTTTTCCTCGCCACAACAACCCTGTGAGGTAGGTTGAGTTGGGAATATCTTGAAGGCAGCTGGAGAATTCCAAAGGCAGCCCTCTCTTTTGTGCTGTTTTGCCGAGTCCTGATAAAAGCACTGTCTGGTTATAGGGTTTCATGGTGGGTTCCCCCCCCCACAGACTAGGATTGCAAACTGGGATAAAAAAAATTAATTCCGTATACAGGGACTGAACTGCAATGCCTGGACAAGGAAGGAATCTTGACAGGATTATATATTTTTAGCTCAGTAGAGCCTACTGTTCTATTAAACATGCATTTAAGTTAAGGAGGTGCCAACAGATGCATTAAGGTGCTTTCTGATCTAAAGCAGTGCTTTTCAACCTTGGCAACTTGAAGATGCGTGGACTTCAACTCCCAAAATTCTCCAGCCAGCATGGCTGAGACCAGTGTCCATACTCCCAGAATTCTCTGCAATGGCCATGCTGGCTGGAGAATTTTGGGAGTTGAAGTCCACGCATCTTCAAATGGCCAAGGTTGAAAAACACTGATCTAAAGCATTTCCCATGCCTAACATTTACTCAGGAAGGTTCAGTTGCTATAGGTGTCACCAACCAACTCAGTCTCTAGAAGGAGTCGATGCTCTCCATCACAACTGGATGGAAAACCATGCCAGGAGTGGCCATTTCTTTTCTGGCCAAATATAAGGTGCTGCTCATCACCTTTAAAACCTTGAATGGGATATATCTGGGCTAGGTGTTTGCAATATAACCCCCTTCTCCCCATTCCTTGAGGGTCTGTATTCCTGCAGACTGAAAGTGTCGATTCCTAGGTCTTCCTGCAGAGTTGAGACCAGTTTCTTTATCAACTTTGTCCAAAACCGCATCATGTTTCATAGTTATGTTGGTTTGAATAAAAGTGGCTTTAACTCTGTTTGCAACAGTGGAAAATCTTTAACTCTAGTTTTATATTCTTTTTGAGAATCACCAAGAGATTTCAGTAGCTGACAATATAAGAAGTTGAATAAAATAAATCAATGTCCACCGTTTATGGATTTCTGTTCTCCTGTGCTTCTCCTCCTCGCAACAATCCTGGGGGGTTGGATTTTAGAGATACCGTGACTAGGCCAAGGTTGCTCAGTGAATTTCATGGCTGAGGAACCAACTTTGGTTTGACATCTTAACTCCACATTCTCTGAATTGGGCATAACTTTAACCATCAGGATTCTCAGCAGTGACCATGCTGAGTAGAGAAAATCTGTATTCCCAGAATTCTTAGCAATGGCCACACTGACTGGAGAATCCTGGGAACCAAAGTTCATACTCAGAATTCTTGGCAATGGCCATGTTGACTAGAGAATATGGGAACTGAAGTCTGTACTCCCAGAATTCTCAGCCGTGGCCACACTGACTGGAGAATTCTGGGATCCAGTGTTAGCGTCTAGTCAGTATGGCCATGGCTGAGACCAGTGTCCATACTCCCAGAATTCTCTGCAATGGCCATGCTGCCTGGAGAATTCTGGGAACTGAAATCCATAAATTTGGAGGATACCCAGGTTGGGGAAGTCTATAGTAGTTCTACCCCAGCAGTTCTTGATCAATAATCAAATGTAATGACATTTATGTCCTTGTGGCAGGCAGGTTTCTTGAGTGGCTGCCAGCAGAACCTGGTTGGACCTTTCTCACATCAACCAAATTGGGGCAGAAAGTCAGAAGAGACAAAGAATTGAAAGTGAAGGGAGGAAGCAGAGCTGGACCAAAGTCACTCTGGACTTGGGGAGCTGAAATGGCCTCAAAGGAGGAAGAAGAAGACTTGGCGAGCCCTTTGGATCAACAGGATTATTTTCCAGTGGAACGGAAGGAGGAGGAAACAGAAGTACAGAGTCTGGCAAGTTCTGGAGATGTTTCCAAAGGAACTGGGATGAGTAACCATGTTGCCCTGGTGAAAAACGAAGAGAAAACATTGCATGAGAAAGATGCCCCCGGGATGGAGGAAACCTCTCCATCCAAACCTGGGCACGCTCCGTTCCCAGCTCCCCAACGTTGGGATGATTTATTTCTGACCTCCATCGAAAAGGCGGTCAACACTCACCCAGGAAAATGGATGTCCCAGCTCATCCCAGGCCTCAAAGAAGAAGGAGAGGCATTTGAGAACAAGGAGATTGGAGACTACGGGAAGGTGAAGGCAGCCATCTTGCGGGTTGACGCGATCAGTACGGAAGTCCAGCGACAGCATTTCCGGCGGTTCTTATACCGAGAGGCTGACGGGCCCCGGGAAGCCTGCAGTCGACTCTGGTTCCTGTGCCACCGGTGGCTGAAGCCGGAGAGGCACACCAAGGAGCAGATCCTGGAGCTGCTGATCCTGGAGCAATTCTTGGCCATCCTGCCTCCCGAGGTCCAGAGCTGGGTCAAAGATGGCTGCCCTGAGACCTGTGCCCAGGCGGTGACTCTGGCTGAAGATTTCCTCTTGAGCCAGCAAGAGGCTGAGAGACCCGCTCAGCAGGTAATAGATTTCCAGAGGAATAGATTTGTTCTGCAGGGTTACACTTGTGCAAAATGTTCCCAGCTTAAAACATTCTAAGCTTGAAACAGTTTGGGGTAGGATGCCTCATTAAGGGGGTGTTGAATCAGAACTGTTTCTCTCCCAAAATCTATTGCGATTGAATTGATTAGCCTCAACTTCTACATGCTGATGTTTTTAACAGTTGTTCAGTCATTTTTACCTGGATCTTTAGTCAATAAGAACAAATCTTGCAGATCTGTTGAATGACCGTCGTTTACAATCTAAATGGTATGACATGCAAGGAAAGAGGTATAAGGAGGGCAAAGGAAGAAAGCAAGTTCCTGCACCTCATTTTACAGTTCTTATAATAACTGTCTGACAGAAAGAATAATCGACTGCTTATGTAGTCATAAAGGGAGAATCCAAGGCACTGATTAGAATTGTCCTCTGTTCTTCTAACCATCTTCTGGGTATCTCTAGATGATATTTCAGTTCAGAAAAAAGAATATTTGTAATAGATCACAATGACAGTAAGAACTGTGATCCTCTTAGTAGTATTCCTCAGGTCAGCACTGCTGCTCAGCCCTTGAATGGGATTTTTCCTGCTTTTCCAGGTGCCAGGGTTATTTGAGGAGACAGGGGCGACCTCTCCAAAGGCCAGTGACCGAACCTTGTCAGACACTGAGCAGAGTCAACTGTGTTTGGAGATTAAGCAGGAGCAGCCTCTGGATGATACTTCTTTAGGTGAGGCCCCCATTCTTAACATTCAAAGTCCCTTGAAGCGCATCTGTTCATCTCAAAAACTTCTGATGGGAGATTCCCCCACATTCAAATTCCCTTGAGTTCAACTAGGTTGGGAATACCTTCCTTGGCTGGGGATCCTGCAGAGCTTGTCCAAATTAAAAATAGTCCAGTTCAATCAAAGATGAACTCTGGGGGTCAGCAAAGGGCTCAGAACACAGGCAAGGAAAAATAAATAGTAAGTCCAAGAATTCAACCCAGAGTTCTCACTTGAGCTCAAACAACCAGGCTCAAATTATCCTAGTTCGGATACATTACGTGAAGACCTTGCTCTATTCAGAAGTCCATAATGGTGGGAAGGGTGGAAGGAAAGAGAAGAGGAACAGCAGCAGCAAGGGGGTTGGACTTAGTTATAGTAGGGAAGGGGGCACCGTTGGAAGACCTGAAAGACCAGCTTAGGGATAGATCATCATGGAGAAGATTGATCAAGCGATGTGGTTGCTAGGAGTCAGCATTGACTTGATGGCACATCAAGTGCCGTCTATCTATCTATTAAACAAGTCAAAGAATTGAAGATAAGAAAAAGGAAACAGACAGAGCTAAAACTAGTTTACACCAGCTTGGCGTCTTTCTTTTGTAACGCTCCCCCCATTTTGTAGTCAGTCCACATTCATTCATTTATTCATCACTCATTCAATCTTCAGTCTGCCTTGGTCATCTCTTTCTTAAGGAGTCCATTTCTTGCTGCATTCAACATCCTTCCATGATTCTCCTGCCATACTCAACTCTGACTTTCATATAACAGAGTAGGCAAGAGCAACTTTTTATACTCTGCAGTGTTTGCTGCTTTTGATCAATATTCATCGCTTGCTACAAGCCACATACTAGCCACTATATTTCTACCAGCATTTGATATCTTAAAATTTCTCCGTCCATTTCTCTGTTTTAATAAACATTCTACCAAGTAGACAAGCTCATTTGCTTGCTTTCGTTTTCTGCCATTTCTGTCATTCAGTTAGTCTATGAAGTCAGTGACCAGTAAAAGACAGGGGCTGCCATTTCTGTGTAACTTGCAATCATTCACTCACTTTTCTCTCTCAAACACAGCTGCCTTGGACTTTGATACATTAACATTCAGATCCATATTCCTTGTTGCATGATACAAGCTGTCTTATATTTGCTGCAAATCATTTGAGTTGGCTGAGACTTCGTGGCATTATCTTCAAACACATTCATTCATATCCCCAACCAACACACCTCTACTGTCACCATTCCTTACACATTTATCCAGAAATATATTAAACAACCAAGGGGGCATCACCCATCCTGATCTATGTTGAACCGTTTGCAAAGCATGCCATTTATTCTCATGGATCATTTTACCTCCACTATATACCACATTCAGCATCCGTTCTCCAAAACGTGTCATGTTTCAAGCCTATTCACTTTAGCATACATATTCTCTAAATCAGCAAATGTACAATACACTTTATCACCTTTATACATTTTTCAGCAACCTGCACACCCCCTGTCTGGCATGAAGCCACCCTGCACTTTCCAAATTTGTCACCTCTCGCACCCTTTTAATCAAAATTCTGCCAACCCCCTTCCCAATCCCTTTGTGGTTTTTGCAATGTCATGGCATCTTCACCCATGCATTAAATGAGTTCAACAGCCAGGCTGTAAGCAAACCACATCCATATTTAAATATTTGCCCGTTAGTCCATCTACATCAATGTTTCTCAACCTTGGCAGCTTTTCAGATGTGTGGACTTCAACTCCCAGAATTCCCCAGCCAGCAAGGAGTTGAAGTTTCTCAATCTTGACGGCATCTGAATGCTGCTAAGGTTGAGAAACACTGATCTAGATCTTCAGCGTTACCATTTTAGAACATTCTCCCAGTATTAATGGACTTCCTTTTCATCAACTCTCCTTAGACATTAACACTTAACAGCCCTTGTTTCAATTTCATTCCACTCTTTGACATACCACTCTCATCTCTGCACGGAGCTGGAATGTACTCCTGCCAGCAGAATTAATCCCTCACCGTTCACAGAAATCATCCATTCCCGCTCAGATCACAGCTCTGGTTCTTGGCTCATGTTGGGTGGTGGGGAATGCCAGAATGTATGGTTGTAAATTTGGTGGGGTTGGGATCCTTTTTCTGGTGATTGGATGCTACCCAGAACCTGTGGAAACAGACAGAAACGTTGCCAGGTCATTAAGCTGATTAACTGAAAGGATGTCTAGTGGCTTTAAAATGAGTTTAAATTAATATACGATCTTGCAGACTTGATTCATGTCGTGGCTTTCTTCGTTCGCCCGTTTGATTTTAAAGAATGTACCCCTTAACAAAAATAGAAGGATTTTATAATAATATTTGTCCAATTCTTTGGGGTTTCTTTTAGACAATCTGTGCATGAGGGAAAACAAGGCTGGGATTCCGCAGCTGGCAAAGAAGGAATCTGAGTTACTCTGTGAGACCCCTGGGGGAGGCACTGCAGACGTCTTTCCCATCTCAGATGAGCAAGGAGCCATCTCTGAAAGTCAGCAGAAGCCAGAAAAGGCCTTGAAAAAACTCCCAAGGAAGAGGGTTCAGAAATCCATTTCTTTGGTGGAAGATTACAATAATCTCGCTGTCACCCCAACAGAAAAGAAAAACGTAGATGATGAGGCAGCTGTCAAGATCATCGTATGCAAAGAAACCTTCAGCCGGGGTTCCGATCATGCCGGAGAGAAAATCCACAAATGTTTGGTATGCGGAAAGTGCTTCAGCCTTCGTTCGCGCCTGATCGTCCACGAGAGAACCCACACGGGTGAGAAACCTTACACCTGTTCGGAGTGCGGACGAAGCTTCAGTGTCAGCTCCAGTCTCATTGCCCACCGGAGAACCCATACAGGAGAGAAGCCCTACAAGTGTTCCCATTGCGCAAAGAGTTTCAGCGTGAAGTCCGGGCTGATCGCTCACGAGCGGACCCACACGGGAGAGAAACCCTACAAATGTTTGTACTGCAGCAAAAGTTTCCGCCGCAATTCGGGTCTCGTTAGCCACCAGAGAATCCACACGGGAGATAAGCCGTACCAGTGCTCGGTGTGTGAGAAAAGTTTCAGCGATATCTCCAACCTCATTACCCATCACCGGATCCACACGGGAGAAAAGCCCTACAAGTGTTTAGAGTGTGGGAAAAGCTTCAGCCAGAGCTCATACCTCAACAGCCACCAGAGAATCCACACGGGAGAAAAGCCATACGAGTGCTCCGAGTGCGGGAAGACCTTCAGCGTCAGCTCTCGGCTCCGGAAGCATCAGAGGAGCCACACTGGCGAAAGACCTTTTGTCTGTTTGGACTGCGGGAAAACTTTCAGCGAGAGCTCAGATCTTCTGGCCCACGAGAGGGCACACACGGGAGAGAAGCCCTATCGCTGTTCGTTCTGCGGGAAGAGTTTTCTGCGCAGCTCCGAGGTAGTGAGCCACGAAAGAATCCATACGGGCGAAAAACCGTACCAGTGCGGGGAGTGTGGGAAAAGCTTTAGTGTCAGCTCACGCCTGAGTGCGCACCGGAGGATTCACACGGGGGAGAAGCCATTCCAGTGCATGGTGTGCGAGAGAAGCTTCAGTTATAAATCCCACCTCATTACTCACCAGAGAATCCATACGGGGGAGAAACCTTTCCAGTGCTCAGTCTGCGGGAAGAGTTTCCGCGGCAGTTCCAGTCTGGTGGCACATGAGCGGACGCACACAGGAGAGAAGCCATACCGGTGTCTGGACTGTGGGAAAAGCTTTACTCAGAGCTCAAACCTCATTAGTCATCAGCGAATCCACGCTGAAGCGAATTCCTGAGATCCTCCTCAGATGGACCTCTGTGGATAATCAGTGGGATCTCCCTGTTCTGAAGGAGATGTTGGTCCTTCGGTATTTCACTGGCAGCTCCTCCTCTTTTCTAGAAGGGGCGTATTTTCAACAATTGTGCAATAGCAAAGCGTTCCCTTTTCTTCTGTTCAGAGCAGAACACTGATGTTACAACAAACCGGCAGGGATTGTGTGTTCACCAATCCGTCCAGACCAAACTGTGGGAGGTGGGGAGGCAGTTAATAGTTGCTAATGGTTTGGTGCCTGGAGAGTAGATCAGATGGGTAGATGGTCACACCTTCTCTTCAGAATCCATCCTGGATCTGCATTGCAGGCTTTATGTTTTATTTTTCCAGAAAGAGAGAATCTCTGCCCGGTGGGGAATAGAATGGAAAGGTTTACAAAGAAGGACTCCCATTTTTTTTGAACTGAGATCTGATTGGTTCACTTTTTAGTTCCTGGAGAGTTTATAAGAACTAGATGAGGGAATTCTACTGCTCAAAGGGGATTCTACCTCACAGGAAGCAAAATAACACACAAGCTAATGTTTGATCTCAAGGACCACCGCATTCTCCAAGCAGAGAAATGTTAAAAGGAGTGGGTGTACACAGATTCATAATCTTAGACTTAATATCTAAATTTCTAGATTTAATTACAGAATTATTTCGGGAGAGGGATTTTGCCACCACTCCGCTATTCCCCCCTCCCAGAAAAATTAGGGGCTCTGATTTTAGAAAATTTAGAAAGAGCGATCTGACTTGCTTACAGGCCTATGTATGGTTCCGGTTCTCAAGGGAAAAGGAGAAAGAGGAAGTGTGAGAAGCTTTGGGGGTATTTCAAAAGATGGTTTTCTGCTAACAAAGAGATGGTTTCCATAACACAGACCCAAAGGTTCAAGCTCTGCTTAAATTTGACTGTGTCCCATTGCAGGGACGGAGGCTATTCTATGACTGAGTGCATTCACATACAATGTGAATTGTAGTGTGATGTGAAGATGATGTGAGATACTCCCCCGTGGTATGGTTCCCAGAAAATTCTGCAAATCTTGGGAAGCAGCCATTTACAGACCTCCCCTGATTCGTGTTTGGCTGATTGTCACATCCTGGTTTATTTTTTAATTGATTGGAAAAGCCCAGCTGCAGAATCACAGTGGCCCAGTTGGCCTATTAGGGGATGCTAATCTGCAGAAGTGATTCAGGTCCTCATTTTGGAAGCCAGAAAGGAAAGCGAGGATCATACTTGATCCTCCATCCAGATTCAGGCAATATGTGGGAGCGAGGTTCAAGGAGGAGTGTCTGCAGAGTATGGTCAAAAAAGTCAATGATGGTGGCAACCATTTTCTACGTGTGTTGGGTGCCAATGTCGAGTCTCTCCATGGAAGCCATGGAGACTAAGCTGAAAGACACTCAGAACTTTTTTCCTGGAATTGAACAGCATATAACCTGCAGAAGCAAATAAAATTAAATAGCCTTAATTGCAGTTTCAGACATGTCCTGGGTGCTGGCTAGCATGCCAGGCCCATCATAATTTGGCTTAGTGTGATGTGAAACAGTGATCACAGATTGGGTTCCCACATCACACTCAACTGTGGATTGTTTTTGCCAGTTTGTTGAACAAACCAAAAGTCAGCCTTGCAGATGAGGAAAATAATCATCATAACTTGTTTAGCCAATGCCTGGACAATTTCCCTATTCTGGCTGCTGTTGCTTGATGACTCTTTGGATGGGCCAGGCCTGAGTGAGAAACCAGGCATCCCCGTTCACATATCTTACTAAAAATCAGGCTTCATGCAGGCTAATTCTTGAACCAAATTCTTGAATTCCAGGACCAGCTCTTGATAAAATCATGTTACTGCAGATACTAGGAAAGTTGTAATATAGCAGAAAAGCAGCAGTTGCCAATGATAAGCCTCATGCCGTAGATACAAGTATACATAGCAGTCTCAGTGTGTCTGAAGGTGGTTTCTCTCTCTGCAGGCGGGGTAGAGCAATTGACATATCAGCATCATTACTGTAAGGGAGCCGTCTGGTCTTAGGACTTTCCATTCCACCTTGATCCTTCTAGCCCTCACACGCTAAGCCACTGTTGCAAACAGGGGTGTCCACAGGATGTGAAAAAAAGGCAAGATGTTGCCTTTGATTGCACTGTTGAGGCACCATCTTGATTTTTTGAACCATATCCTACAGACACCCCAGTTGCAACCTAGCTTCTGTGGTGTTATATTGTACAATGATCCATGGTTTACTGGTATAGGCTTTCACAGCTGGTATCCTTTGAGCAATGTTGGGGTTCAGTGACCATGATCTACAGAACAAATTTCCAATGTTTCACCAGCAATCCCAGCTGGCATCCTCAGAGGCAAGATGTCCTCACAAGCAACTGAGCAGGGATTGATTGGGCTCTTGTCTTTATAGCCAGGTATCCTGGCTGCTGATTGGTCTTTAGCTGAGCTGGCTTCTGATCGGTGCAGGTTGGTGAGGGCTAGTCTCTGATTGGCCCTCACTGACCTGCACCAATTGGAAACCAGCTTGCTTAAGACCAATCAGCAGTCAAGACCCCTGGCTATAAAAACAGGAGCCCAGTTACTCCCTGCTCAGTTGTCTGTGGAGGAGATCACCTTGTCTCTGAAGATGCCAGCCATAGTTGCCATCAAAATGTTAGAAAATCTGTTCTCTAGACCAACTAAACCCTGAAACCCAACACTGCCCAATCCATGGTCTAGTTAATGGTCAAAAAAGTCAAGATGGTGGCCACAAGGGTGCAGTCAGAGAATCAATTCAAAGAAAGAATAGCAGCTGGCATGCCATTAAAATAATTGGCAGTTCACAGCATGGGTTTTCCTTCCATTGTAAGCTTGGTGTGTTGGCATACACAGTTGCAGAAGCTGGTCTTCTGCTTTTCTCTGATGGGAGTCGCACATCACGTTGAGCCAGAACAGGGGTTGGGTCAATGACAGTGTAATCAACAAATCATGATGCAGCACAGTGCAAAGCTAGCCTCCAGAGTTTTTCCACTGAACAGTTCTGATTCCAATCAGTTCTTAGTGTTTTGGTAAAAATAACGAAGTACATTTTAAATATTCAGGCCAAGAAGCAAATTTTAGGTATTTTTTAAAAAAAACAGATGAGGAGGAGAGTTTTGGTTAAGAATAAAATCCTTATAGTTTCTAGAGCGGTGTTTCTCAACCTAGGCAGCTTGAAGACGTGTGGACTTCAACTCCCAGAATTCCCCAGCCAGCCATGCTGGCTGG